ACACAAACGGGCGCACACACACACACACACACACAAACGGGCGCACACACACACACACACACACAGACACACACACACATACACACACACGCACACACTCACTCACTCACTCACTCACTCACTCACTCACTCACTCACTCACTCACAATCAATCAATCAATCAATCAATCAAAACCCTTTTTTTTAAGTTTTTTGTTTATTTATTTTCAAATTTCGCATCTTTGTTTTTTTTAAAACACCTCATTTCCCTTCAAAAAAAACAAATCCAATTCTTAAAAAAATACAGGGTACTCAGTGACCATATATCTCATGATAAAAAATGTCAAGAAAAAAATCCAGCTTTTCTTTATATTTTTTTTTAATTATGTTTAAATCGAATTTTGTTTTTGATTTTTTAAAAATCCTAAACAACGTCAGATTCCAAAACAAAAAATATAGGGGTGTAGGGTTTTCGAAGCCCTACACCCCCATATATATATATATATATTTTGAGTATTTTTAGGGGTAAAAAAAAATATTTTAAAAAACAGGCCGCGGACCGGGCCTCGTTGGCCGCGTCCGCGGCCGGGATTTTCGGCCGCAGCGGCCGAAATGCCCGCGGCCGCGGCCGCAGGTGTCACATAGCCTGGAGGTACTAACGACTTGAAATGTTGGAGGAGGAGGACAAGGAGGAGGAGGAGGAGGAGGAAGAGCAGAAGGAAGAGGAAGAATGTCTGGAGGTATTAATGGTCTGAAGAAGAAAGGAGGACAGCCGAAAACGACAGCTGCTACGGTCCTGGCCAATTCAGAAGTGAAAATACACAAGGAAAGACGATGCCGTTCAATTGCAAATGAAATGAAAGAACTTGGAAAGAGGGGGACACAAAGGAAGGAGAAGGCATAAGAAAGAAAGAAGAAGAAGAAGAAGAAGCAGCAGCAGCAGCAGCAGCAGCAGAAGAAGAAGAAGAAGTACACCAGCAAAAGACCAATGACAAGTCCCCCCCCTTATCTCGCCACTCACTCTCCTCCTCCTTATCAACCTTGATATTATTCATCAATAAATAATAATAATAATAATATTAATAATAATAATAATAACAACAATGAATGGCTGAACCAGAACCAATGTACGAATCTCCGTCTTACTGCCAGCACTACATGAGGTGCACCATCGCCATGACCTTCCTCCTCTACCTCCGCCGGTAGGTGATGGCTATGGCGGACTACTAGGGGCCCTGGCCCGATGTTCACAAGACAACGCAAGAGCAGATATGTCCTCCGCACTTCAGGCCGACATGCCTGACTCTGCCCTGAATCCTTCTCGATGCAGTGCAACCCCTACTGGGGCCTCCCCGGTGCAGCGCCTACCAAAGGGATGAAGATGGCGTCCACCATAGCCGGTAAGCACAACCCCTCCCACTCTCCTCCTCAACCCCTTCTTCCACCTCCTCCTTCCTGGTCTCTCTTACGCCATTATGATAGCCAAGGTGGAGGACCAGGCGCTCCTCCTCCCAGCGCTCTACAGTAGCATTCTTCCACCTGGCGCTCCAGCAGCGTGACGCCCAAACTTGCACACCACAAATGAGGACGAGTTTGGGCGTGCAAGTTTGGGCGTCATGCTGCTGCAGCGCCTGGTGGGAGAATGCTGGCCCTAGACTCAGGCTTCAGGACTGGTACCCTAGACCTAGGCCTACCAGACTCTAAAATTCACACGGCCTCCAAAGGTACCAACTTTTTGTCTTCTTCTGCGCAGCCTACCGCTACTCAAGTTCTACACAGGCCTAGACTACCGCTACTTCAGTGCTAGCCTACGCTATTTGAGTGGTTCCCCTCAGCAACCCTCAGAGTCACCGCACACAGCTAGGTAAGTAATGGCCGCGAGGGCCTCCCAAACAAACAAGTACCCTGGTGGGCCACACACACACTCAGGCAGACATGCACTCAGACTGGCACACGGAAACCAGCAAGCACGCGCACACACAGACTTAGAAATCTCAGCAGAAGACAGGAATCTCAGCCAGGCACGCATTCCAGCAGCAAAACTCAGAAATCAGCAGTGTTCTCAGTCTGTGTTTTTGCAGGTCATTACAAAGCAGAGAACAGGAAAAGGACAGTAGAAAAGAGGGGGCACCGGGTGGGGAAGGTGCTGTGTCGGGAAGAGAGGGGAGAAGAAAGGGAAGAAGAGAGAGGGACATGAAGGGATATATATTGTCATACTGTGAATCGGAGCGCAAAGGCGGAAAAAAGCAAAAGAACGAAAGGAAAAGAAGGAAGGAAGGAAAGCCCCACCTGTTCATCACCTCTTACGTACAAGGCCAGCCACGTGGATGACAGGTTCAGCGCTGGCTGCCCCCATCCCCGTGTGTCACAAAGACCCACTTGCACGCAGCCAAAAGGCAAAGAGGTAAAGAAAAGGCGGAGGAAACCAAACCTCACAGAAGAAGAAAGCCTATTAAACAGACAAAGCAAGTGACACATCCCACAGATAATCCAATTACCATCCCACAGAACATATTTTTCTTTTTTCTTTTTTTCTTTTTTTTCAGGTTTCGTTTTTTGCCTTTTTCCTTGGTTTCTTTTTTTATTTATTTATTTATCTTTTTACTTGGTTTCTTTTTTTATCTGTTTCTTCTAAACTTTATCTGTCACCCCCTCGGCAGATGGGACAACTACGGTGAGGATGACGGGGATG